TTTTTGTTTTCCATAGAATTTCTATAGTTCTTTTTTTCTTGAAGGTTTATGTGTTCAAATATTTAGTTTTTTTAATGAAAGTCTAATTGATGTTGTGTACCACTGCATATATAATACATGATTCATGTTGATTTGCATTTAATTTTATTAGGAAGCTGTAATGATCATGCAAAACCATTTTTTCCTTCTCCGTCATGTCTTCCAAGAGTTTTATGTTATGTTTTTATTCAGTTTTCATTGTTTTAATTGTTAAATCGAGTTATCGTAGATTTTTTAAATTGATAATTGATAATGGTTATTTATTTTTACATGTATTGTTAATTGTTAATTTTTATGTAACTTTTAAATTTTTAAACCATATTAACATTTTCTGATTTAATAAATATGTTGATTTGGATCAATCAAATTGAATTTAAATTTTTTTGCTGTACATAATTTGTTAAATTAACATTTAATGTTTTAATTATACTTAATAATTTTTGGTTTGATTTAAAAGCTGATGTGGACCAATTAAATCAAGTTTTTCTGTCATAATCATACTTAACATTTTTTTATTTAATGAATATGCTGATGTGGACCAATCATATTGAATTTTTTTAATCTCATGTGGACGCCCTCAATGCACTATGCCATCAACTTTCATATATTATACTAGGTTTTTAACTCGCGCTACGCGCAAGTCTGTATTAATAATTTAGTTTAATTGTTTTGGCTAATATCTTTTAAATTATTAAAACTATAATATATTTATAAAAAAATTGTTTATATAAAAAAAATTAAAACATAATATGTATTTTTCATATTTTTGTTTATAAAATTATAAATCTTATTAAGTAAAATCATAGTAATGACATCTAACGAATTATCCAACTTCGATGTGCATACATTTGATTTAGAAAATAATTTTCTTACTAAATTTTTGGTGTTTTGTTTTGTATCCTTAGGATTTCTATAGTTCTTTTTTTTTAAAAGGTTTATATGTTTAAATATTTAGTTTTTTACTAAATGTCTTACTGATGTTGTGTACCTATACATAAATGATATATGATATATGTTGTTCAGATTTACTTTTGTTAGTAAGCTACACTAATCGTGTAAAGCTGTTTTTTGCTTCTCCACCAGATCTTCTACGGATTTTAGGTTATATCTCTATTCAGTTTATAAGATGTTTTATTTGCAGTCAACTATTTGCTAATTTTTGTTTTTAAACATGTAAGATGATGTAAAAACTTCACACTATCCCTGTTTTTTTTAATTATATTTTAAATGTTTTATTCATCTTTTGATTTGAATAATTTATCTACATATATTCCCATTTGAATTTGATTCATAATTTTGTTATATTTTATTATTTAAAGAAAATTTAGAAGATGTTGCTCATGTGTTTTTTATGATGGCTAAGTTATAAGCAGTAACTATGTATACAAATCAGACTTTATTACTTATTATATTTTGAATGTAAAGTTACTTGTGTATTATTTTTCTTTGTTAGTTTTTAAACCAGGCGCACCCAATGTTTGATTTAGAAACTTGTACAACCTACTATAACTTTATATGATTATTCATAGTCAACACCAATATTTTAGAAATCATGAATTTTCTGGAACTAAATTTCAAACTAATTTTCTTCTTAGATCTTGTTTTTTGTTATTTTAAATATCTTTGATGGTAATTTTATATTTTATTTTAATTATCTAATTTTGTGCATGTTTGATATACTTAAAATATATATATTTTAATTATATAATCTCTGTTTTTGTATAATCTCTGTTTGACATGCAATAACTCGTTATTCTAAATTTTATATGAACTTCTCTCAAAAGATTATATAATCATTTGTTTTTTTTTAGTTGATATTTTTTTGGTAGTTAGCCTAAATATCAAGCTAATTTTACTTTATACGACTTTTTCCTTTGATAATTTACCTCTCTTGATATTGATTTTTATTTTAGTTTAACACACAATTGTTTTGAAAATATTGGTATTTTGAAGACATAATTTCATTTTTTTGTTAATTAAATGTTTTATATATATTTCTTAAGTAGTTAGTCAGATATCAAGTCAATATATTTTTAGATATTTTTTCTAATAATTTAACATTTTGTAAAACTTAATTTTTGTTTTAGTTTTTTAGTTAATTAATTTCTTAATATTGATTTCTTAAATAATTAGCTTAAATATTTATATTAGTTTTGTTAGTTAAGTTTTTTAGTATTACTTAAGTTTTTTTTTATTCTCTTACTTATTTTGTTCATATTGATTTTGTTAAATAAATAACATAGATATGAAGTTAATATCTTCTTTTTTTTGTTAATTTTACTTTTTTCGATATAGACTTTCATTTTAATTGTATTGACATGTTGCAAAAAATAATTTATGTTTTTTTTTGCTATTTAAGTTTCTTTTTTAATATTGCTTTCTTTAGTAGTTAGCATAAAATATCATTTTTGGTTAGTAAAGCTTTTTGTGTTAATTTTCTAAATAATTACGCTAAATATCAAATTTTAGATGACTTTTTATTTTGATAATTTAACATGAATATGTGTTTTGGTAGTATTGATATTTCCAAATAAAAAAATTATATGTTTATATAAAAATTAATTTTAATATTTATTTCTAAATAAATTACTCATTTAAAATATATGTACTAGATTTTTTTTTTTTAATTTAACCTTTTTGTTATTGATTTACATATTTGTTTTTGTTAGTTTAGTTTTTGTGACTATGAGTTTTCATTTTATTTTGACAAACGTTATAGATTTGAATTTTTGACATAAATTTATTTTATCTAGTTAAAAAAATTTTATCTTAATTTTCCATTATACTATGATAATTTTATATTTTTGCATGTTTTAATTTATTTAAATTATTAATATTTTTTATATTTTTATGTTTAATAAAATACACTGATATAGACCAATCAGATTAAGTATATATGTCATATGTAGACGCTCTCATTGGCCTAAGATATCAACACGGACCACAACTAATATATTTTAAATTAGCAGTTCAGATTTTAATTGTTTGTCGTGACTAAAATTTTAAAATAATTTAATTATGGTTTTAAATACAGTTTTTAATTATTTTGTTCAATATATATGATTTTTCTTTCATAATCTATTTATATGTTAATTTAATCTTTATTGTTAATAGAAAAATAAGATCTATTTTCAAAACACTTTTTTATTAATAATTAACTTAAAATTTAGAAACTTTCCTAAAAATAACAAAAACAAAATTAATTAAAATTTAGAAATTTTTCTTATAACGATTAAAACGAATTAATTAATTTTAATATACAATATACAATTAACTAAAGATAATGATGATGTGTACGAATAGAATTGAATCTTTAAATCCTATGTGGACACCCTTGGAAGACATTTAGCATCAACTTTTATTAGTAATAGATGATGATTTACATCTAGATTGATTACTAGATAAAAGTTACGAGTTCAAATAGAATTAGGAAACATTTCTCCACTGCTATAAAATTGTTGACAAGGGCTCACGAGTTTGATTACTCTCTAAACAGTTTCTGCTAATGTCGAAAGTCAAAGGGTCTTCACGGGTGTATATGCCAGATCTTCCTGATGATATACTGTTGAATTGCTTAGCTCGCGTCTCGAGATTGCACTACCCGATTCTCTCTTTAGTTTCCAAGAGATTCAGCTCTCTCATTGCATCTATTGAGCTTTACCAAACGCGAACACTCCTAGGTCGCACCAAGAGTTGTCTTTATGTTTGCTTACGTTTCAGTTCTGGTTGTAACGTACGTTGGTTTACTTTATGCCGAAGACCAACTCGAACCCCTAACCCTAACCCTAAACCTACCCGACGATGGTTCACTTCTTCATGCTATAAATTTAGATCAACAAATCACACTAAGAAGGAAGAGAAGAAGTCGAGCGACAATGTTATGATCTCAGTCCCAACTCGAAATTATTCTCCTCGGTGTTGGTGGGAGACTGCCACAATCGGTTCTAATATCTACACGATTGGCGGACACGGCAACGGTTCTAGGGTCTTCTTCATGGACTGTGGGACTCACACATGCCACGAAGCTCCAAGCATGGGGGTTGCTCGAGAGCGGCCTCTTGTGAGTGTTCTTGATGGGAAAATATATGTAGTGAAAGGCGCGGACAGTCACGGTTCCTAGGATTTGATGCATATTTTCGATCCGGAAACCCAAATATGGAAGCAAGTGCCATGCCCTAGAGCGGAGATACTCTTCTACTTCTCTGAATTAAAAAGCTTGGCAATAGACGGGAAGCTTTACCTGTTTGGGCATAAAAGTATGGTTTACAATCGCAAGGAGAATGGATGGGATGTGGTAGGAACCGAGACGCGTCTTGGTTTGGGTCCACGTGGTTCTTCTTGCGTGATAAACAACGTAGTCTACAGCTCCACATTCTGCAGAATGCTTAAATGGTACGACTTCGAGGGAAGGACGTGGAGATATTTAAAGGGTTTGGAAGAACTTCCAAAATTACCAGAGAATTTTAACAGTGTCAGGTTGGTAAGTTATGGTGGAAAGATGGCGGTTTTGTGGGCGCAAGATATTGGCTCTGACGAGGAGATGATTTGGTGTGCTGTGATTGCGGTTGAAAGGCGCAGCGGACAAGAGATTTATGGTAAGACTGAGTGGTGTGATGTTGTGCTTACAGTCCCTAAGTCATGTCGTTTACTGGAATTTAGCGCTGTTACGGTTTGATGAATCAACACTTGAGCCATTAATGTAAATTTTGTTTTCAGTACGATGAAGGATTTTCTATAATGCATATTCTCAGTGGTTTAGGCATGTTCTCAGTGATGTATGTACAACTGAAAACGACCAAACGACGAATGTTTGGTAAATTTATAACACTCCCAACAAATATTTTAACTGTTATAGAAAAGAAAGATGAAAGAAAAAAAATAACTTAAAAATTAAAAGAGTTTCTAAGCAGAAGACAAATGTAAAAAAAGGTATGATGTATTTCAAGAGCTTAAACTTTGGCTCAGATAAGCTCAAGGAACAATGCTTCTTGTTTGGTGCTTAATCCAAGATCATTCAGAGTCGACTCACTTTCTCCATCCCCAAACGCATGCCTGGGATATGGTCTCACCTGTTTCATCATATCACACACCAAAACTTTAGACTGTGTAAAATCTCAACGTTTTTTAAAAAGATGCAGAAGTTTTTACCAGTCTGTAACTCTTGGGTTTCACCACTCTGGCTATGTCTATGAAGTCGAAAAGAGTCTGTAAAAAAAGCGCCATGGAAGGTTATTTAAGTTATATAATTTGAGTAATACTATATGGCAATAGCAAAGTGAAATGGGTTTTCGGGAAAACTCACTTGGAGTTTGTCGGATTTAAGGAAACGGCGACCAAGTCGAGTTCCATCTGGCATTCGGACTAGAAGTGTAATGGCATTCTCTTCGTCTGCTTGTGGCTCCTTAGGTAGAGAAGCTTCTTTCGCATCTAGTTGCCTCTGTAGCTCCTGTAACAACATTCAGAGAAATAAAAATAACGTAATCAGTAACGAGAAATCCATCTTTCTGAAGCAAGAAAGGGGTTTCGAAGGTGAAGGCGTAACAAAAGCAAAATCAAGAATCAATGAAAACTTGTGTAGACACGGCCTTGGAAACAGAAGCTGTACCTGTTCCTCCTCGAGTTGTCTTTGAGCTTCTTCTTCTTTTTTCTTTTCTTCCTCCAGAAAAGCCTTCCTAGCAGATTCTTCCTCTAGCTGACGTGTCTCAGCATCTCTAATGGATTTCAGTTCTTTATCTCGGTCAGCTTGCAGGGATGCAAGATACTCATCATCCTGCATGAGATAGCAGCTCGAGAAATGTTATTATCACCAATAACCTTCGCTGAAATAAAGGTTACTAGTCAAGCAACTAGTAAGTGTTCCCCTAACCTGCTGTTCTCGTATCATCCTCTGAGCTGTCAATGAAGGTGAGGGTGGACGCGGTGGAGCAAATGCTCTCTGCTGAGGTGGTAAGAATGGAAGATGATTGAATCCAGTTTCAGGAATGCCACCGAACATGGCTGCCTCAAGCATGACAGCTTCATCATGTTCCTCGGACGATATGCCTCCCCACTTTAGCATAGACAAAAGAGTATCAGTAATGGCATGGACTAGCTGCTCTAGGTATCTTAACTGTAAAGTAATAGTACTAGTTTCGAAGGAAACAAAACAGAGTTTTTGATACCTCAGAAGGAAAACCATTGCCTCTACCCGCTGGATCTTCTGCTTCAGGACTCCCGCTCCGGGAACGGTCAGCGTTTGTTGGGGCCAGTGATCCAGACGCCGCACGTCTTGGCCTGTGTCTAACAAGGGGCTCCTCATCAACATCATCAGAGTCATCCTCAAATGGTGCGGTAGGTGCTGCCAATCTAGAAATCACAATATAAAAGGAAATCAGATAAACGGCTTGACAGATTTTGCAACTGCAGATATTAAACTCAGAGGTAACATAGTGGCAAAGTATTACAGAAAAGAACCAACAAACCTTCCGTTCAGGGCTTGGGTGTCTTGAGGTGCTTGAGCAGCAGCCGTTTCAGAAGGTCCTATTTCTGAAGTTGAGGCTTTATACCCTTGATTGCGCAAAACTTCTTCCTCCGCTGACTGCACTCGTTTATGTTAAAAGAGACCAATGGAGATGGATGCAAAAATAAGACAGAGAGGAGGACAAGAACAGACCTTTAATGACATCGTGACAGCTTTTGCTATGTCATCATCATCTCCCATGTGAGACGGCCTCTCTACAGGCAAAGGATTATTTGATCCCTACAAAACAATTAAAGTTTTGCTCAACTTATAAGCCAAGAATAGATAAACAACAAGACAAACCCAAATACTGCACATTCTCTTAGAAAAAGCGTACCTCAGCCTCCATTTTTGAGGCCTCAATGGCAGCTCGGATCATCTCTTCTTCGATATCATTGTAATCTTGAGCATTATTGGGTGCAGGACCGGCATGTATAACTTGCCTACTCCTTGTCGTTGGTGCATAAGGAATATCATCATCACTCTCTTCATCTATAATAACCGTCCCTTGAGTAGCTGGACCCTGAACATGTGCTGTTTCTGTGACATCCTCAATAGTAGGAGCATCACTAGATCGTTCTGATGGCCCACTGCTATCCTTAACCTCTATGGGTATCTGCCTAACCTCTCTGGGATGACTAACAAATGGAGGTGGTCGCGGCATAAGAGGATCATTATCAAATATACTTCTACCAAAGTTTGAATCCAGAAGCGAAAAGGGTCCCGCTGTTCTAGCTGCATTGAGAAGAGATTGTGCAGTGGGAATCACATCATCTATATCCATTGCGTCGTCGTCATGAGGGACATTCACTGGTGCTTCATGTACTCTGCAGAAGGATCATAAGAAGGTAAGAAAAGACTGATTTTGCAGATGAAAAAAAGATAATAAATAGGTGGGAATATCATCAGTGAGATGGATGGATGGATGGCATACGCATTTCGATCTCCCTCGCTGAAATATGCATTCACAGCTTGATTAAGATCACCACGATGTTCCTGCAATAACAAAAGGAGGATACAATCAATTAAATATACGAAGAACCACACTTTATATTGATACAAGTGACACACCAAAAAAACAAAGCATTCCTAGATCGAAACAGCACAAACCAGTCAACAATCAGCTCTCAAATTCGAAGAATATTGGCTAAAACCATACAATCATCAATGATCAACGCGAGAATTCAGTAGAAACGCTCCTAGAAACTCAATCAAACCATCCAGTGACCTAAAATTCTGAAAATCAACTTTGATTACAACCTAAACCATCATAGATTTAAACAAAACAACGAACAAGAAGAGTAGGAGAAAAGAATCCGATAATCAAGCGATCGTCTTCATCGAACTTTCACTTTATCGACTCGGGAAACTTCCAAAATTCATCGGAAACCCAAACAAGATAGCATACGAAGAATCACGAAGATAACAAAAAAGAAACAATAAATCCAGATGAGTAATCCGAATTACCTCGAGCTTCTGAACGGCGACGGCGTCTGAAGCGCCGGTGATGCTCATGAAAGTGTCGATTGCTTCCTGATTCGGAGTCGCCATAAGAGGTGAAGAAGATGGAGAGAATCTGAGAGAAGTTTCGTTTTCGCAACTAATGATTGTTGTGAATTCTTTCGTTGGGAATTTGGAGTGAGGAAGGGGAAAAGAAAAGATGTTCTTATTGTTGTTGTTTTTTTTTTTTTTTTTTATTATTTGTTGTGAATGGGATTGGATCGGCGAGACTCGTCGTTTTGAGGTCTTTTTTGGTTAATTTTATTTTTCGATTTTAATTCCTTTGTCACTCTGTTTTGGGCTTCTTTCTCTTTTGCTTTTTTGTTGGGTTTTTTGGAGGGTCTATGTGAACTGCCTCGAAGTTTCTCGATGGTTCTTTTTTTTTTTATTTATTTATTTAAGTGAGTTTCTCGATGGTTCTTGATATTTTTTTTGGTGCTAATTACTCGATACTTCTACGCTAATTACGAATTAAGGACAACTGTGTTTAACAATTGTCATTTAAATTTTCGCCAATTTGTTTGAATGTCCAAAATGTGATTTTAATATGGAAAAGGACCTTTTTCTAGAAAAATTGTAAGTTTGGCTCAATTCCCCATACTATATATGGTTTACTTAATTTTCTTTGAATTATAAATATCCGTTTATTTTCACCCAATTTTTTTATAAGTTTACTAGATATATAACTCGTGCTATGTGCGAGTCTGTATTAATATTTTGTTTTATTTTTTTAGTTACTATCTTTAAAATTATTAAAAATTATATATATTTATAAAAATTTTCATTTATATAAGAGAATTTAATATATAATGTGTAATTTATCCTATTTTTATTTATAAATTTTAAAAACTATTAGGTAAAATAATAACAATGATACCTATCGAATTATCCAACTTTGACGTACATATACATTTGATTTAGAGAAATATAATTTTGCTAAAATTTTAATATTATTTTCTGTTTTTCATAGAATTTCTGTAGTTCTTTTTTCTTGAAGGTTTATGTGTTCAAATATTTAGTTTTTTTTATTGAAAGTCTTATTGATGTTGTGTACCACTGTATATATAATCAATGATTCATGTTGATTCATATTTAATTTTGGTAGGAAGCTATAATGATCATGCAAAACCATTTGTACATTCTCCATCATATCTTCCAAGAGTTTTATGTTATATTTTTATTCAGTTTTCATTATTTTAATTATTAAATCGAGTTGTTGTAGATTTTTAAAATTTGATAATTGATAATGCTTATTTTTTATACATGTATTGTTAATTATTATTTTTTTATTTAAATTTTAAATTTTTAAACCATATTAATATTTTCTGATATAATAAATATGTTGATTTGGATCAATCAGATTGAATTTACTTTTTTTTGTTGGACATAATTTGTTAAATTAACTTTTAATGTTTTAACTATACTTAATAATTATTGGTTTGATTTAAAAGCTGATGTGGTCCAATTAAATCAAGTTTTTCCGTCCTAATCATACTTAATATTTTTTTATTTAATGAATATGCTGATGTGGACCAATCATATCGAGTTTTTAATCTCATGTGGACGCTCTCAATGCACTATGCCATCAACTTTTATATATTATACTAGGTATATAATTCGCGCTACGCGCGAGTCTGTATTAATATTTTGGTTTATGTTTTTTAGCTATTATCTTTAAAATTATTAAAAATTATATATATTTATAGAAATTTTCATTTATATAAGAGAATTTAATATATAATGTGTAATTTATCCTATTTTTCTTTATAAATTTAAAAAAACTATTAGGTAAAATAATAACAATGACACCTATCGAATTATCCAACTTTGACGTACATATACATTTGATTTAGAGAAATATAATTTTGCTAAGATTTAGGTAATATTTTATGTTTTCCATAGAATTTATATAGTTTTTTTTTTGAAAGTTTATATGTTCAAATATTTAGTTTTTTTATTAAAAATCTTATTGATGTTGTGTACCACTGTATATATAATCCATGATTTATGTTGATTCACACTTAATTTTGTTAGAAAGCTATAATGATCATGCAAAACCATTTTTTTCTTCTCCATCATGTCTTCCAAGAATTTTATGTTACATTTTTGTTAAGTTTTCATTGTTTTAACTGTTAAATCGAGTTGTTGTAGATTTTTTGAAATTGATAATTGATAATTGTTACTTTTTTATACATGTATTGTTAATTGTTAATTTTTTTATTTAACTTTTACAATTTTAAACCATATTAACATTTTCTGATTTAATAAATATGTTGATTTGGATTAATCAGATTGAATTTACTTTTTTGTCGGATATAAATTGTTAAATTAACTTTTAAAGTTTTAATTATACTTAATAATTTTGGGTTTGATTTAAAATTTGATGTGGACCAATTAAATCATGTTTTTCCGTCCTAGTCATACTTAACATTTTTTTATTTAATAAATATGCTGATGTGGACCAATCATATCGAGTTTTTTAATCTCATGTGGACGTGCTCAATGCACTATGTCTTCAACTTTTATATAATATATGATGATTCACTTTAATTCAATTAAAAGTTAAAATCATAATTAATTTTCAAAATCATATTTTGATTAGATTGCGTTTTGGAGAAAAATATGCAAAAAAAAATTGTTTGGATGGAAATAGGCAAAAGTATAGTCTAGGAAGAATATCCAAAATTTATTAAGTTCAGTAAACAGAGCGCAATCAACTTAATTAATATAATATAAGTTTATCATCTTATTGGTTCAAGTATATTAATATAAGTTATAAGTCTCAAAAAATATTTTTTCCTACTAATATTTCAAATCAAAATACTGGAGCCAATATGATGATAAACTTGTATTAGTTAAGATGTCTAATGTCAAGTAAATAAATCCTATAATGTCAAGTATATTCCAAAAAATAGTTTTTCATATTAGCATTTCAAATTAAACTACTTGAAACCAGAGGCGGAGGCAGAGATTTTATTCATAGAAGGCAACTTAAAAAAGCAAAGGAAGAATTAAAAAAAAAACAAAGGGGGCATTATTGAAATTGTGTAGAATTTATATGAAATTTTTTAAAAGAATTAGGGACATATGCTCCCTCTTGTTCAAAGTGACTCCCATTATCAATGTTAGTTTATGTATGTATAATAACCACTGCTTGAAACAATATGATGATATGGTTATGTATATATAATAATCAATGTTAGTTTTGTTTTTCTTTTTAAATAAATTATGTTGTCATATTACTACCATTTTTAATAGGAATATACGTTTCAAAAATCAAAAAATTAAATTAAATAAGTTCAATCTCCTGAACTTAATAAATTCTGGATATTTCCTTATAGACTACACTTCTGCCTATTCCCACTTAAACAATTTAATTTCTGGCATATTCCTCCCTCCCCCCCAACGCAATCTAATCAAAATGTAATTTCGTAAACTGATCGCAATTTAATTTTTAATTGAATTTGGGGGAACATACAGATAAAAAATTATTTAGGTGGGAATATGCAGAGGTCTATAGTTTGAAGGGGATTAAGCAGACCACATATAGTATGAGGGGCTGAAGGCAGCTAACTCAAAATTATATAGACAAATCTAATTTTTAGAATAATTACTTAGAGTTTGAATGATATGCAGCTGCTTCATTTTTCAAAATGTGATGTAAATAATTTTTATCATTCATAATTGGTTTGAATGGTATGTCAACTTAATAGCAAAATATCGGAATAGCTGAATACTAAACTAACGGAATCAATATGATGGGTAAACTGAAAACTGAATAAATTCAAAACGTTGAAAAGCTAGTATCTATTAGATGAATATATTTTTTTTAAACTAGTTATTAATTTAAAATGTGCGGGATAGACTAAAAACTAGCATGTTAGTTTTTTTTTTTTATCATCCAATGCTTAATATTGTGAATGGTATGTATTTAATGGAATCACGTTTTCAAAACGTGAACAAGTGAAAAAGCTGTATACCATTCAACCCCATTGTTCATCATGTTTTCATATTTTTTATGATTCTAAAATATGATTTTGCTAGCATGTTAAAAACACAACTAGAAAAAATAAAACGTTATTAGTCTAATAAAATTAGCTTTTTGGAATTTCATAATTTTTCAGCAAAAGTTTTATTTGGTTCAGTTCGTTCCGCTAACAACTTTTCAATTATTATTTTTTAGGTATTGGTGTTGAATGGTATGTAGCTTTTCACGTTTTCATATTTTGAAAACGTGATTCTACTAAATGCATACCATTCACAATAACAAGTACTGAATGATAAAAAAATAAAAATTAACACGCTATTTTTCAATTCATTCCACATATTTTAAATTTATAACTAGTTTAGAAAAAAAAATTATTCATCTACTAGATACTAGGTCTGACTGGTATGTTAGATTAATAGCTGAATAACTGAAACATTGTTAGCGGGATGAACCCAACTGAATATTATTTTTGATGAATAATTGTAAAACGCTAATAAGTTACTTTTAGTAGATTAATCATGTTTTATTTTTTCTGGTTTTATTTTTAACACGCTAGCAATCACATTTTAAAGATATGAAAACGTGATGAATAATATGAATGGTAAAAACTAGCACAATCACATATTTAAAACGTAAAAAAGCTGCATACTATTCAAACCCACTAACTTTTTAGCGTTTTGAATTTATTCAGTTTTCAGTTTGCCCATCCTATTGATTCTGCTAGTTTATTATTCAGTTATTACACTATTATGGTATTAAGTTGATATACCAGTCAAATCCTATTGTGTGATTATGGTATTCATTTGACATAACAGTAAGACCCTTAGTTTAAATTATATAGACAAATTTAATTGTTAGATTAATTACATAGTTTTTTTTCAAAATAATAATAATAATACTTTTTTAAAAAAACTATATTAAACCAAATTTTTGAAACTAAGAGACTTAAAACAGAAAATGTTTACTCACTCAGGTAAATCATGGCTCCCTCGATGCTATTTTACTAAAGATGGTGTTCCATGTTTCGGTATATTTCGTTTGGAGTGAACGTAATGCATGAAAACAGTTACATTACACATATAGAAATGTCCTGATCCATGAGCAAAGCAATATGGAACCCGGATAAGCTCCCTCAGATATAGGTTCCCGCACAAACTAGAAGGTTTCATGAGGATGATGAGATGGTCTGAAGTCAATTACTTGTGGAAAGAAGGAGTGGTTCAAGGACCAGGAGTTCTAATTTTTATTTATTCTCTCATTCTTTCACACTTGTAAATGAAACATTGATATTCAGAGTTGATCAATAAATTTAATATTTCAAAAAAGAGAAAAAAAATGTTTACAAGTTTGCTATTTTCATATTCAATTTGTCCTAAATCCCTTTATAATTTGCTGATGTAAAAGCTCCAGTTTTGTCATAGATCAAAATTGTATATGCTTTGATTTCTTTCATATATACGTTGGTAATTCTTTCAATTTTTTGTTTTAAAAGTTTTTTCCTTGTTTGTTTACATTCAAAATTTTGATAAATTATGAGCAGATCCAACAGATGTAAAATTAAACCCCACTTTAATAAATATAAATCACACTTCTCTGAAGACTTAACACACATTTGAAAACCAGTTTGCTATATTCTTCAAGAAATTTGCATAAACGCTCTAAACTCATGAAGAGGATGCATGGGACGTTTGTAAAACTCTACCAAAGGCATGCAACATGATGTGTTGTATGTAGCAAGAACTATCCTGGACCATAGGAAGAGTTCTTCTAGACCACATGAAGAGTTCATGCAAACTGGATGAGTACTGAAATGAGATTAGAGCGTTTACATATAAAAATAGGGTTTGTATAATATAATTTTATAGTATCAAAACTGTAAAAGATTTATAATCTAAATAAAAAGGGATAAAATGGACTTGAAAAAACCTAGCCGTCATAGAGAGAAATGAGAGACTGTATTTTTTCCTCTTTGATGTCTCTTTGTCGGTATCATGAGAGGGTTTAGTGTAGTTCTTTTATGAGTTGAGATTTTGTTTTCTGTTGGTTTCCGTCTAATAAAATTTCAAATCTGATAGTTGATAAGATTTAGTTTTATGGGTTATGGTGATTCTCTTGTCTGTCAAGATAAAGTTTTTTTATATGAGATTTATTCATATAAGATTTATAGTTTGCTTTAGATACTTTAATTTTAGTTGATTTTGGCTATCTATATGGTTTGTGTTTTGCAGTTCAAGTTTGTTCGATGGTGTTGGAGCGTCTTCCACCGAAACTTACTCTTCCTAAACAAAATTGACAAAAACAATTAAAGAAGAAATCTATATATTTCGTGAGAATTATTGTCATCAAAAATATAAAAAGTCTGCCTGCTACTATATGATACATGAACATCTTTTATTGATTTTATCAAGACTCGAAACAAGGTTGTTTTGGTATCAATAATATATCATCAAAGAAACTCATATTTACTAAATTATCCAGAAAAATAGTTGGTTTCGCTTTATATTTTATATGTTTCATCTCTTCTATATTGTACTCATTTGGAATGGAGATCATTAAAACAAAGTGTTAAAATAAAAAGGATAACTTGGAGGGTCAATTGACATGATATTTTGTTTCAAATCAATCTATTGGAGTGACTAACGTTAGACTTATTTTCACTAGAATCTTGACTTCAATGATAAATTGGTTGGATTAGAATTTTTTTAAGAGCTTTTTAAATTTTTAATAAGTATATATGATTAAAAAAATATAATTCTTAAAATAGGAAACAAATTATCAAAACTCTGTTGTTAAATTAGTAAAAGCAACTATCTGAAACTAATAACTATAAAGAAAACATGTGACTTTGATTTTAATAGGTCACACTGTAAACTCTCGAATCTCAATTTATATATTTTTTTAACTCATTCATAATTTTTGTTAACAATCAGTTTTTTTTTTGTCACTAGCCTCTTCTCCTAAAACGGTTCAAGAATCAACAATCAGTCTTAATAAATAGAAAAATTAATATAGGTAACATATTTACAAGAATGCGTTTTGGACCAGTTCAATGTATACACACATTTATTTTTTAAATAGTTATGATTTATTGAGTTCTTATTTGTTTTCATTTGTAAATGATTTTGTAAATATCATTCCTATTTGTGTTTTTATGATTTTTTTTCTTTCTGTTTTACCATCCTTTTAGCTTCTTTTCCATTATAAAGTTCATGTTCCATATAATATTATTTTAACAATATCTATATATATTTAATTTATTATAAATATGATATTTACATGTAAATTTCTATCTCACTCATTGATTTTTGCTTTGTTTTTTCATTGCGATTATATTTTATCAAAAATGACTAAATCCACCATCATTGCTATTCTCATGATCATCCTCGTTCTAGGTTGCCATTGTCTAACCACATCTTAAAACCGTTGTTCTTCCAAAAGATGAATTATCATTTTACTGTTTTGTTTTTCTTCCCTCCAATCCATACATTTTGTTTATTTTATAATGAAATGTTAATGTTATGTTTTAAATATTTATTAGGAATGGTGACTAAAGAATCGCAAGGACAAGAGATGTGCCGAGATGTTTTAATGAGAGAAAACTGTGAAGAATGGCCATGTAACAATCTGTGTACGCAGAAATGGAATGGAAGCGGCATGTGTTTTCAAAACGAACAAATAAAAAGTTGTCTCTGCACTTTTCCTTGCAAGATTTGAGTTGTTTTTCTTTGGTTATCTATAACAAACTATAATATTCAGAATAATAATGACTTGAAATATTACCATTGCCCACTTATATAATTTGATATCATTTTCTAAATTTGACATGAACTATAAAATGCTACTTTAGCAAATGTGCCTTAATTTAAATGTCAACAAATATCAGCTACAAAAATTGCCACCAAACGATGGATGGAACATTTTTAGGTAGTTTAATAAAATTATCTAATTTTTCACAAACTCATGATTAGTATGAGCTTGAATATAAAATATCATAATCACTGAGATAAGCTATATAATAAAATGTGTTAAAATGACAAATTTGTTTTTATAAACCGGCTGTTTTTTTTAACGTAAAGGTTTTATAACTGATGGTTTTCAACACTTCATTGTGCTTCTTTGTTAGAATGAAAAACATCAAAATTTAATATAAAATTAGAATGGCTTTGTGACAGAAACTAATACTCCAATTTAATTTTATGGAAAATTAATCTAAAGCAGTTTATATATATATATATATATTTTATATTGATGTATATGATCGGATAATATAATTTGGTACTAATTTTTGAAGTGGTACTAAATAGTATAATTCGATACGAAGTGTATAGTGGTACATATAGAATGTTGCAAAGCTACAGTACAAACATAATTGTCGATTGGTTAAATTATAGTAGTACTAATATTGATGACTAATAAAAAGTAAAAAAAAATATAATTAAAAAATAGAAAAAACAAAAAAAAACCATGAAATAAAAGAGCAAAGCAAAAAACAACATATCATATTTTATCTTTATGATAATTTAGATAATTAAACATCATCTATTAAAAAGTACATTAAGATAACTACAAGTTTGTGAAAATAAGAAATGATAATTCATATTTTTAGAAAAAATAAGAATGATATGAGTGTATGTATATACATTTATAAAACATTTATATGTATTCTAAATCATTTTATTTATTCTGGTAACTTAAAAGTTTTTATAATAATTAAATAAAAATCCAATGAGAATTTGTTTTCATGAAAACAAAAACTTTAATTAGTAATATATGAAACATCATCTTTTTTTTGTACCATCGTATGTTCGAACACACAATTTGTAATGCTCTACATATTTGAAACATCCAAACTTGCAGTATTATATTTTGAAATATTTATGGGATGTTTGTGTAAAAAGCATTACAATTCTTACTATTATGATTATATTATTATATTTGTAATAATTCTTTGTTAGTATGATTCGATGCTCAATAAACAATTTTTTTTTATGATAATAAAGTTGGTTTTTATCTATCTATATATTAAACTAGAAACATTAGATGCTAACTTTACTGATATGTCAGTATCACATTTTTTTCCTTTTTCTTTAACACTGGTTTAATCAAACGCTTCCAACGAAGTTTGAGTACAAGCGGAAAACTAAAAACTACAGTTCACCTAAAACTTTAGGCATAAAAGGAGGAGTAAAAACCAGGGGCGATGACAACACCCTGTCAACAATTCTGGGCGTTAAGATGCAATACATGTCTTATCTATGCCGGGCCCTTTTGTGCAACATAAGAGTGGTATTTCTTGTCCCTAGTTACACTCGTGGCTATTGCTTCCGCAGCTCTGTTGTAAGGGAAAGAGGTGTGGTTGAGACTCCAAAAGTCGAAGAACCGTAGTAGATTGAGAATTATTTGCAATACTCTGTTCTGTTATGTGGCTTGAGTATGATTAAGAAAGGCTTCTCGGGCTTCACATGAAGCCGATTCAAAAATGATGCGTGTATAATGCAGACTCTTCATACTCTCAATGGTCCAGAGTAAACTTTGGAGGTCTGACTCAAGCTTGGAGGTCGTGTGCGAGTATGAACTCCTGCTATGCATTAATACATCTCCTAAATGATCTCTAAGGATCCATGACACTCCGCATTAATACATTATATTTGAGGTATCCAACTGGTGGAGCCTGCCATCTACTTACTGCAGTGGTTCCGTTGCTGACGTTTTCAGCGATTTGTTGAGTCGAAATAGCACAGAGCCACTCCTCCATATTCTCCCTTGCTCTTTCAATGATGGAAGAGGGGTCATACTTGATCTCTTCAAACACTAAAGCATTCCTCGTTTTTCATAAGTGCCATAGGATCCATGGGAAAGAGTATCATGTCACATGTGGAATATCCTGTTTCTTACTGTGGGCAATCAAATGACGCAGGTTAAGGAACATAGAGTTACTGGAGAACCCCGCCTACGACAGAGGAAATTGTGACAGCCTCCATGTTTTCTTTGCGACCGGACAGTGAAACAGGACATGACAAATGCTCTCCGAGTCTCTACCACACGCTTTGCAAGCAGTATCCATCTGTATACCCCGTGTACATAATCTTTCGGAGACAGCAAGAGCTCCTGATAGTGCCTCCACAAAAAGTGTTTGACTTTTGGCTCTGTTTTGATCTTCCACAAGTTCCTCCAAAGTTGTTTTTCCAAAGGGGGATGTGTATGTGCTGGAGGAACCTCCATTTCCCGTAAAGTCTCTAGAAGTCTGTACCCACTTTGCGTGGTATATGAGCCATCCTTAGTGAATCCCTAACAAAGAGAGTCTGGTTGAAATAGAGATATTTTAGTGGATAAAATCCGGTTGGCATCAGCTTCTACAAATGATCTCCTCATTTTCTCATCATTCCACATACTTGCTCCTTCAATAATCAGATCCGAAACCTTTAGGGCCAAATTTATCAGAATAGTAGGGTGATATAACGGGGTTCGGGGTATCACATCCAATATCCATTTCTCATCCCATACATTCATGTTGCAGCCGTCCCCAATTTTTGTAATCATACCCTGTTTCAAGAGGTTTCTGCCATGTATTATGCTCCTCTAAGCGTATGAAGGTCTTGTACCAGTACCACACTCCATAAAGGTGCCATTCCTGAAGTACCTCGTTTTAAGAATTCTCGTTAGCAACTAATCAGGCTGACTCCAGATTTTCCAGGCTTGTTTCCCGAGAAGAGCTTGATTAAACCGTTCTAAGTCATGAAATCCTAGCCCCCCGTCTTCCTTATTCTTGTAGAGTTTTTGTCAAGCTACCCATGGGATCTTGTTTCTGTTGGATCCATTACTCCACCAAAACTCTGTCATCGCGCTAGTAAGTTTATCGCAGAGATCTTTCGACAGCTTAAAGCACGACATAGCATAGACCGGGAATGTTAAAGGCAATTGATTTCAATAAGATTTATTTACCTCCTTGCGAAAGAGCTTTTGCAAACCACCCATTCAAACGCCCTTGGAGCTTCTCTCTTATGAAATTCAGAAGCCTCCGTTTTGAACCACTAAAGCTCTCCGAGAGTCCGAGATATGAGCCTTCTCCACCTTCTTTTGTAATACCAAGGATCCCCTTAATTTGTACTTTGGTCTGTTCTGGTACCTTGGCTCCAAATATAATCGAGGACTTCATCTTATTGATAACATGGCCGGATGCTTCACCATATAGATAAAGTACTCTCACTAATTCATCGCTTTTGCTTGTGGATGCTTTACACATCAGCAAACTGTCATCTGCAAACAGGAGATGGTGGACAGCAGAACCATTTCTTGCTAATCTAATCCCATGTAGTTGACCAGCAGCCTCCAAAGAGTTAAGAGAGTTGACCAAGGCTTCTGCACATAATATGAAAAGAAAGGGAGATAGAGGGTCTCCTTGTCCAATCCCCCTCTCCGGCTTGATGAAACCATGGGGCCGTCCATTCAGCAATACCAAATAAGATACTGTTGAGACACATGCCATTATCCAACCAATCCAGGCTCTATCGAAACCCATTTTCTCCATTAGAACTTCCAGGAAGCACCATTCCACTCGGTCATATGCTTTCGACACGTCCGTTTTAATAGCCATGTACTCGTCCATGACCATTCCATTGGTCCTGAGGCCATATACCATTTCATGAGCCATGATGATATTGTCTGTAATAGATCGTCCAGCTACAAAGGCCCCCTGCGTACCTGAGATGATCGATGGTAGAATCTGTTTCAGTCTATTGCTCAGAATCTTTGAAATAATATTGTATTCCACTGAACACAAGCTAATGGGACGCATATCCTTCATCATTGTAGGGTTGACGATCTTGGGGATCAGACAAATCTGTGTGTGGTTCCAATCAGAAGGAGGATAGAGGTTCGAAAGAAGTTTTGAACCTTTGTAGTCACTACCGATCCCACAATGTGCCAGAACTTCTGGTAAAATATCCCTGTTAGACCATCCTCTCCTAGGGAGCTGCTGCCTTTTACGGTAAAGGCCGCCTATTTGATTTCTTCCTCAGATATTTGGCTAGTGAGAATAGCTTTCATCTCCAGCGTAACCCTGCCTTGGAAACCCTCGAAGAGTGACTCCAGATCAAAGGGATTAGAGCTTAAGAACAACTCCCTGAAATACTCCGCTGCGATATTCCCTTTTGCTCCTTCAGAGAAATTCTCCTGCCCTAACTCATCGAAGAGCATCAGAATACGGTTGTTTACCTTTCTCCCTTTTACACTGTTATGGAAAAAGCTTGTATTTTTATCCCCCAATTTCAACCATTGTTCACGGCTCTTCTGTCGCCAGAACATTTCTTCCTCTCTATATGCTTCAGCTATCTCTATCTTTAACCGCTTCATGACACGCTGGCTCGGCTGCATTCTTGCAATTTCCGCTTCCAATCTCTGCTGCAGCTTAGATACTCTATCCCGTGAGTTCAAGTTGGGTGTTCTCTTCCATTTAGATATCTCCTTGCGACAGTTACTTATACGATCCATAAATGAGGTATTGGATCCCGTGGTATCATTTTTCCATCCTTTACGTATAATCTCTTCAAAGCCTGCTTTTCCAACCATACATTTATCAAAATAGAACTTCCTTCTAGTTGTGTTCTCATCCTCAAGCGCAAAGCATACTCTGATTGGCCGGTGATCTGATCCCCACATCTCCAGGTACTCTGTTTTAGCCCGAAAGAAGAGATTAAACCACTCATAATTTCCAA